GGGGATATGATCTCCATGTATAAATACATAAGGGGGGATATTGATCTCCATGTATAATACATAAGGGGGGATATGATCTCCATGTATAATACATAAGGGGGGATATGTATCACCATGTATAATACATAAGGGGGGGATATAATCTCCATGTATAATACATAAGGGGGGGATATAATCTCCATGTATAATACATAAGGGGGATATGATCTCCATGTATAATACATAAGGGGGATTTAATCACCATGTATAATACATAAGGGGGGGATATGATCTCCATGTATAATACATAAGGGGGGATATGATCTCCATGTATAATACATAAGGGGGGATATGATCTCCATGTATAATACATAAGGGGGGATATGATCTCCATATATAATACATAAGGGGGGATATGATCTCCATGTATAATACATAGGGGGGGGTATGATCTCCATGTATAATACATAAAGGGGGGATATGATCTCCATGTATAATACATAAGGGGGATATGCTCTCCATGTATAATACATAAGGGGGGATATGATCTCCATGTATAATACATAAGGGGGATATGATCTCCATGTATAATACATAAGGGGGATATGATCTCCATGTATAATACATAAGGGGGGATATGATGTCCATGTATAATACATAAAGGGGGATATGATCTCCATGTATAATACATAAGGGGGGATATGATCTCCATGTATAATACATAAGGGGGGATATGATCTCCATGTATAATACATAAGGGGGGATATGATCTCCATGTATAATACATAAGGGGGGATATGATCTCCATGTATAATACATAAAGGGGGGGATATGATCTCCATGTATAAATACATAAGGGGGGATATGATCTCCATGTATAATACATAAGGGGGATATGATCTCCATGTATAATACATAAGGGGGGATATGATCTCCATGTATAATACATAAGGGGGGGTATGATCTCCATGTATAATACATAAGGGGGGATATGATCTCCATGTATAATACATAAGGGGGGATATGATCTCCATGTATAATACATAAGGGGGGGTATGATCTCCATGTATAATACATAAGGGGGGATATGATCTCCATGTATAAATACATAAGGGGGGATATGATCTCCATGTATAATACATAAGGGGGGATATGATCTCCATGTATAATACATAAGGGGGGGGGGATATGATCACCATGTATAATACATAAGGGGGGATATGATCTCCATGTATAATACATAAGGGGGGATATGATCTCCATGTATAATACATAAGGGGGATATTGATCTCCATGTATAATACATAAGAGGGGATATGATCTCCATGTATAATACATAAGGGGGGATATGATCTCCACGTATAATACATAAGGGGGGATATGATCTCCATGTATAATACATAAGGGGGGGGATATGATCTCCATGTATAATACATAAGGGGGGATATGATCTCCATGTATAATACATAAGGGGGGGGATATGATCTCCATGTATAATACATAAGGGGGGATATGATCTCCACGTATAATACATAAGGGGGGATATGATCTCCATGTATAATACATAAGGGGGGGGATATGATCTCCATGTATAATACATAAGGGGGGATATGATCTCCATGTATAATACATAAGGGGGGGATATGATCTCCATGTATAATACATAAGGGGGATATGATCTCCATGTATAATACATAAGGGGGGGGGATATGATCTCCATGTATAATACATAAGGGGGGGATATGATCTCCATGTATAATACATAAGGGGGGGGATATGATCTCCATGTATAATACATAAGGGGGGATATGATCTCCATGTATAATACATAAGGGGGGGATATGATCTCCATGTATAATACATAAGGGGGGGATATGATCTCCATGTATAATACATAAGGGGGGGATATGATCTCCATGTATAATACATAAGGGGGGATATGATCTCCATGTATAATACATAAGGGGGGGGATATGATCTCCATGTATAATACATAAGGGGGGATATGATCTCCATGTATAAATACATCAGTGGTTCATATAGTGAACTCGGTGTAGTTAATTCCCCCTGAGGTCATCACAGATGAGACAAGGGGGCGCTCTTTACGTCTGGAGGAAAATAAATGTAATCTCCAAACAGAGAAAGGTTTCTTCACAGTGAGAGCTGTGAGAATGTGGAATAGACTCCCTCAAGAGTTGGTTCTGGCCAGCTCAGTGGATTGCGTAGGAAAGTCCTGCGTTTTTGCCTTTTTCTGGACCAACTGTAGGATTATAATTTTTTTTTGGTTGACCTGGATGGACTTTTGTCTTTTTTTCAGCCAGACTAACTATGTAATTATTCCTCCCACTGACACCAATGATGGGGCACTATTCCTCCCACTGATACCAATGATGAGACACTATTCCTCCTACTGACACCAATGATGGGGCACTATTCATCCCTCTGACACAATGATGAGACACTATTCCTCCCACTGACACCAATGATGGGGCACTATTCCCCCCACTGATACCAATGATGGGGCACTATTCCTCCCACTGACACCAATGATGGGGCACTATTCCTTCCACTAATACCAATGATGGGGCACTATTCCTCCCACTGACACCAATGATGAGGCACTATTCCTCCCACTGACACCAATGATGAGGCACTATTCCTTCCACTGACACCAATGATGAGGCACTATTCCTCCCACTGACACCAATGATGGGGCACTATTCATCCTACTGACACCAATGATGGAGCACTATTCCTCCCACTGACACCAATGATGGGGCACTATTCCTCCCACTGATACAATTATGGGGCACTATTCCTCCCACTGACACCAATGATGGGACACTATTCCTCCTACTGACATCAATGATGGGGCACTATTCCTCCTTCTGACATCAATGATGGAGCACTAATAAAAATAAAATGAATATAAGTATGGCCGTCGGTAAGCTGAAAAAGCCTAAAAACATACAAACCATACATACCGCGCTCCTTAAATACTGTGAATCACTATGGTGATGCTATAAATAAGTACCTCTACATATCATGCGCAAAATAAGTAACAATGTGAATGCTTCCCTATAATTATGAACAAAAGCCCATTTTTTTCTATGAAGCTTCATATCCAGCCTCCATGTTCCCAATGTGCAAAGATAAAGACACCTAAGAAATCGGTGCGGTTCCTCTCTTCCCAAGAAGGGTAACACACCGCACTCACCAGAGATATCTGATCTCTTTTCTCAAAGAAGGTCATAAAACGCTTGAAATACACAAATCTTCTTGTTTCAGTTGACTTTCATATACGGACCACACCAGATGTTCCCAAAGGTATTATGCAGCAAGAAGCTCTACCCAACGCGTTTCGTCATCAGGGGCCAGACGTTACTGACGAAATATGTACAAAGTTGTACATATTTAACCCCTTGGTGCCGACTGCACGCAACTATCTTGGCGTCTGGGCCTTGGCCATATCTGCGTGCTATTAGAAAATACATATGTGCTGAGAGCGCGCGCCCTGCGCGCTCCCAGCACATATGTCCGCGACTTCCGGAAAGGTCCTTAACTCCCCTTTCGACCGGGACCTTTTCCGATCATGTGATCGCCGTGACGGCGATTCACGGCGGTCGCATGACCCTAAGACCCCACCCCGCCTCCCGGCTTCTGAAATTCTTAAAGGGCAGGGAGGCACCGGGGCTAAGAGGTTAAAAAAGCCCAATTTTAGGAAACTTGAAAATTCTTTCTTGTAGTGGGGCTGTGCCCGCAGTTAATTGTTCGTTTAGGTCTAGGGGGCATGGAAAAGAAGACTTAATCACTCGATCCTCTGTGCTGCTAGATAGTGTCTCTATCCCCCCCACCCACCAGTCCCCCATGTTCTAGTGGTGTAAGGTTCCTAACCCTGCATTGGACATGACGACATTGAGGGACAGTCCACTGTTGCAACATGGGGGTGCGCCATCTGGTCGAGTAAGTAAATTGGTTTTGGCCATAAATTGGTCAGTGTGCTGAGCAGGCCACACAGATTCAGAGGGTAGAAGGACTGCTCAGGAATGGTGCCAACTTGTGGTTGATGGTACAGCCACCCTCCCATCTGGTAATAGTAGTGGACATTAATATTACAAGGGAAGCATGCTGCTAGAAGTCAGAAAACTTCTCTAAGCTCTAGTGGTGAGCTGAACATTCAGAATTTGGCCTACTGAGAGGTCCTACATCACATGAATAGATGTGAAGTCGGTCTTGGTTCAATGGTCTGGCTTAGGTGTGTGCTCTGGATGCAGCGTCCAGGAACCTCCACTTCCCATGAATAGATGTGAAGTCGGTCTTGGTTCAATGGTGTGGCTTAGGTGTGTGCTCTGCATGCAATGTCCAGGAACCTCCGATAAATGGCAGTAGAAGGTGAACTTTGCATGTGACAACCTAGCAACAGAAAGCAATACCACCAGTTTGCTAATATTTTCAATGGACCTGAAGCAAAGCTCACACTTGGTGGAAATATTGTCAAAACTAAGTAGATCCAAAAAAGGGAAAATCAAGTACCAAATGTTCAGTTCTCCAGTTGAACAAGGTTTCAAGGTTTCATAGCTCAAGGTTTTCGAGGTTTCATCGCTCATTTCTTTCACTTAATGGAAGGTGTGGGTCCTTGGGCCTACCCTGAAGTCTAGAGGGAGGATGTGTGGCCACCAGTTTCCTTCCTGCTCTGAACCGGGGGGGAATCTCTTCAGGGGAGCCCCTCACCTAGTACTTGGTGGCTGGCTTTAGCTGGCCATGAGGAGAATGGTCCATCCGGCCTTTTAGCTAGGTGGACCATGTTTGAGCCTTGAACCTGTCAGGAGCCTTGCGTCCAGGGTCATGGTAAGAGCCTTCTCCTTCGAGGGGTGGACAAGAGACACACCCTTAAATGCACTTCTTTGCGTGTGTTTTCACATACACTTTTTTATACACGTAGGTGTTTTGTTTTTGCGCACCACCTCGGATTTAAAAAAATAAAATATGGCTGGCAAGCTCACGTAGTTGGTCAGCATTACCTTTCACTTTCAAATAGTGCCCTCCAAAGCGATATGCTTCAAAGTTGAGAGACAGAGGCGTGTTGGACTGGTCTAGAAATATATCCACTTTACTGAGCTCGATCCCTTTCCTCTCGAACGCCGGTATCAAAACTTCTCTGAAATATAGAGATTGAGAAATGTAAATTAAACTGGATGAATACTTAACGACTCAATTTTTATAGCTTAGCATAAGGCAGAACCCTACCCTCCACTCCAACCGCCAATAGCAAAAAGGCCCAGAGACCCCTGACTCCACACTTATGTGTAGGTACAGAAAGAATCATTTTATGACCTCTGAAGGAAAATGTGAGTGAAGAAAAGAGATATTTAAAGAGAATTCATCACCACTACAATTTTTTTTTGAGGATGCTAGTTCCTACCTATCATGGGTTCAATGCTGTTCAAATAACTGACCCTTAACAAGTATAGAGATGAGGAATTCTGACACTCATTCGCAACATGCGTATTCCAGATCTATTACTCAAAGGTACAATAAAAATTATGAGGGCAACCCTAAAATTAATGAGTTCAGGTGTTTCCACTGAAGAGTATTGTTAGTACTATAGAATAGAAATACATTTTACCAATTGTGGTTTTCAAACCTTGTGGTAACAGCTTGGTGGGGACTCTTTTCTGTTCCAGTATGACGGCCACCTGTGTGCCAAGTCTTCTCATCCAACATCAATACCTGACTTTACAAATATTCTTTTGGATGACTGGGGTTGTAGCCTTCCCCTGTGCTTCCAGTCTTGGAAATGTCCTTCTCAGTTCCAACATGACTGTGTAAAAAGCCAGTTCCATAAAAACATGGTTTGACCAATTTGGTGTGGAGGAACTGGAATGGTCTACACAGAACCCTGACCTAAACCCTACCGAACACCTTTGGGATTAATTAGATTGTGAGCCAGGTCTTCTCAAACAACATCAGTACTTGATCTTGCTAATGGTCTTCTGGCCAAATGGACACAAATTCCCACAGACAACTCTGAAATTAGCCACAGTTTGGTGTGGAGGAACTCAAATGTCCTGCACAGAGCCAGGTCTTCTCATCAAACATCAGTACCTGATCTCATAACTGTTCTTTTGGTTAACTGGGCACAAATTTCCACAGACACAGTACATAATTTTGTGGGAAGTCTTGCCACAACAGTGGCACCAGCTCCATAGAGACATAGGTTCATGTGTTTGGTGTTCCGCACAGAGCCCTGACCTCAGCCCTACTGAACACCTTTGGGATGAATTTAAACACCGACTGTGGGCCAGGTCTTCTCATCCAGCATCAGTACCTGACCTCACAAATGTTCTTTTGGATGACCGGGGTTCTAGCCTTTCCCTGCACTTCCTTTTTATGTGGTAACAGTTTTGGAAAGGTTCTTTCAGTTCCAGCATGACTGTGCTCAAAGCCAGCTTCATAAAGACATGCTTTAACCAGTTTGGTGTGGAGGAACATGAGTGTCCTATAGGTCCCTGACCTCACCCCTACTGAACATCTTTGGGATGAATTGGATTACGAGACAGGTTTTCCCATTTATTACATCAGTACTTGATCTTACAAATGTTCTTCTGACCAAATGGGCAAAAATTCCCACAGACAACTCTGAAAGTATCCATAGTTTGGTGTGGAGGAACTCGAGAGTCCTACACAGAGCCCTGACCTCAAATCTACTGACCACCTTTGGGTTGAATTGACAGTCAAATAGCTTGCTAGGTCTTCTCTTTCAACTGCAGTACCTGAACTCTCAATCACAGGTGATACAACGTCTGAAAAATTTGATCAGTTATGGTTTGGCTGAACTTCCAAAAAAATTTGAAAATCTGAAATCTGGAATTTCCAAAAAAGAAGACCCATTGAAGTCAACATAAATCTGAACCAGGCTCCAAAAAGTGTGTATTTCAGAGCAGAAAATGTAAATTTTTTTAAAAATGGTTTTGGGGAGCTCTTGGCAATCCAGCCTGATAAGATTATGGGGCCAAAAATAGTCACGTTCTTTAAAAATTCTACCGAGGATACTGAGATAAAAGGGTGGGAGATGGAGGCACTGGCCAGTCAAGCCAAGGATGCTTGGACAACAGCTGAAGCAGATATGAAGCAGAAACAGCCCTTGGAGCAGTCTTTGGTCCCTTTCTTCCAGAAACCTTTTGGAAATCCGAACTGCCAGAAATACTGAAACTTAGATTAGGACATGTGAATTTATGAAATTTGGTCCAAATTCTGAAACGACTCTACTACCCAGAGGTGCTCATGGTTGACAGCCCTGCATTGTACATGAGAAGAACCAAGTGAACTCCTGGAGACTGGAGAGAGAAGAGGACAGCGCCAGAGCTTGCTGAGGTTAAGTTAGGTAATATACCTGTTTCTGTACATCCTAGACAAAAGAAGAATTTAACCCGCGCAGTCTGGGGGCCCCACTGCAAGGGATGGATTTTGTCTAATTCTGGGAGATGGGCTTTAATGACTATGCTCTTGGAATGGGATGTCCAACAGGTTCATATAGCTGTTCACAAATGTTTCACCACATAGTGTACTTAGAACAGACACAACCAGCCACCAAAAAGGGGGCCAGTAATGGAAGCCACCATTATTCGCCCTTGACAGGTTCACTTTAACTTGTCAACCAAGAGGTTCAGACGGCACTACAGACAAATACCGAACGGAATTCTAGACGAGATGTACAGTATGGTGGCTGAAATTGAGTTATCTTTGGCTACAGGTATCTCGGTGACCTTTCACTCACATTCCTGATTTAAAGGTCAGAGCGGCGGCTCAATGAGGGGCCACACTGTATAAATGAGCTGCGTCCGATGTTAATGAGACGGTCTCTATCACGATAAAGAGCATCACCAGTGTGACAATCTTTCATCTACAGAATGACCTTATTGTTCTCAAAGCTCTTTGATACCATGAGACACCAAATGACAAGCTGATGAGGGTCGATTCCCTCCTGGGGATTAAATGGCGATGGAATTTTCTGCTTGACTTTGCTGGAATATGTGAAATTCCTATTTTTACGAGGCTGAAAAGGGTTTGTTCAATTACACTCGGTCTCTATTAGTGACACCAGCGCAATGTGAAATGTATACAGTCACAGAAACGAAAAATTAAATACACTTCATAGCATAATTCATAAAAAGTGCTATGATTACCTTCAAAGTGCGCTAACAGTGGTGGCCAATAGGATTTCAGTTTGCTGTACTGCGTCTGGTATGAAATGGAAAACGACTGGTGTCTTTGGTTAAACTGTACAGACATACTGATCTTTGGAACGACTTATTGAAGTCTGGTAAAGAGGATGTAATATTTACACCTCAGTGCCTGATCTGGGCACAAATTCCCACAGTTTGTGGACTCCTGACCATGACCTGGCCACCTGACCACCATACTTACCTATATAGACATTGTTTCATGTGTCTGGGTGTGGAGGAACTTGAGTTCCCTGCACAGAGCACTGACATAAACCCTACTGAACACCTTTGGGGTCAACTGGAAAACCAATTGTGAGCCAAGTCTTCTCATCCAATATCAGTGCCTGACCTCACAAATGGGAACAAATTCACACAGCCTGTGGACTCCTGACCATCACCTGACTATCATACCTATCTATACAGACATAGTTTCATGTGTTTGGTTTGGGGGAACTTGAGTGTCCAGCACAGAGCCCTGACCTCACAAATGGGAGCAAATTCACACCTGTGGACTCCTGGCCATCACCTGACCATCATAACTACCTACCTATATAGACATGGTTTCATGTGTTTGTTTGGAGGAACTTGAGTGTCCTGCACAGAGCCCTGACCTCAACCCGACTGAACACCTCAGTGCCTGACCTGGGCACAAATTTCCACAGTCTGTGGACTCTTGACCATGACCTGACCAGCTGACCATCATACTTACCTATATAGACATGGTTCCATGTGTTTGCTGTGGAGGAACTTGAGTGTCCTGCACAGAGCCTGACCTCACATATGGGAGCAAATTCACACCTGTAGACTCCTGACCATCACCTGACTACAGACATAGTTTCATGGGTTTGGAGGAACTGGAGTGTCCATCACAGAGCCTGACCTCACAAATGGGAGCAAATTCACACCCCTTTACTCCTGACTGTCACCTGACCATCATACCTACCTACCTATATAGACATTGTTTCATGTGTTTGGTTTGGAGGAACTTGAGTGTCCTGCACAGAGCCTGACCTCACATATGGGAGCAAATTCACACCTGTGGACTCCTGACTATCACCTGACCATCATACCTACCTACCTATATACACATGGTTTCATGTGTTTGGTGTGGAGGAACCTGAGTGTCGTGCACAGAGCCCTGACCTCAACCCTACTGAACACCTTTGGGGTCAATTGGAAAACCAATTGTGAGCCAAGTCTTCTCATCCAATATCAGTGCCTGACCTCACAAATAGGAGCAAATTCACACCTCTGGACTCCTGACTATCAACTGATCATCATATGGTTTCATGTGTTTGATTTGCAGGAACTTGAGTGTCCTGCACAGAGCCCTGACCTCAACCCTACTGAACACCTCAGTGCCTAACCTGGGCACAAATTTCCACAGTCTGTGGACTCTTGACCATGACCTGACCACCTGACCATCATACTTACCTATATAGACATGGTTCCATGTGTTTGCTGTGGAGGAACTTGAGTGTCCTGCACAGAGCCTGACCTCACAAATGGGAGCAAATTCACACCCCTTTACTCCTGACTGTCACCTGACCATCATACCTACCTACCTACCTACCTATATAGACATTGTTTCATGTGTTTGGTTTGGAGGAACTTGAGTGTCCAGCACAGAGCCTGACCTCACATATGGGAGCAAATTCACACCTGTGGACTCCTGACCATCACCTGACTATCATACCTATCTATACAGACATAGTTTCATGTGTTTGGTTTGGAGGAACTGGAGTGTCCAGCACAGAGCCCTGACTTCAACCCTACTGAACACCTCTGGGGTCAATTGGAAAACCAATTGTGAGCCAAGTCTTCTCATCTAATATCAGTGCCTGACCTCACAAATGGGAACAAATTCACACAGCCTGTGGACTCCTGACCATGACCTGCCCATCATACTTACCTATATAGACATGGTTCCATGTGTTTGTTCGGTGTGGGGGAACTAGAGTGTCCAGCACAGAGCCCTGACCTCACAAATGGGAGCAAATTCACACCTGTGGACTCCTGACCATCACCTGACCATCATACCTAGCTATACAGACATGGTTCCATGTGTTTGTTTGGTGTGAAGGAACTTGAGTGTCCTGCACAGAGCCCTGACCTCAACCCTACTGAACACCTCAGTGTCTGACCTGGGCACAAATTCCCACAGTTTGGGGACTCCTGACCATGACCTGGCCACCTGACCATCATACCTACCTATACAGACATGATTTCATGTGTTTGGTGTGGAGGAACTAGAGTGTCCAGCACAGAGCCTGACCTCACAAATGGGCGCAAATTCACACCTGTGGACTCCTGACCATCACCTGACCAACATACCTACCTATATAGACATGGTTTCATGTGTTTGGTGTGGAGGAACTAGAGTGTCCTTCACAGAGCCCTGACCTCAACCCTACTGAACTCCTCTGGGGTCAATTGGAAAACCAATTGTGAGCCAAGTCTTCTCATCCAATATCAGTGCCTGACCTCACAAATGGGGAACAAATTCACACCCCTGGACTCCTGACTGTCACCTGACTATCATACCTACCTACCTATATAGATATGGTTTCATGTCTTTGGTGTGGAGGAATTTGAGTGTCCTGCACAGAGCCTTTACCTCAACCCTACTGAACACCTCAGTGCCTGACCTGGGCACAAATTCCCACAGTCTGTGGACGCCTGACCATGACCTGACCACCTGACCATCATACTTACCTATATAGACATGGTTCCATGTGTTTGTTTGGTGTGGAGGAACTTGAGTGTCCTGCATAGAGCCTGACCTCACAAATGGGAGCAAATTCACACCTGTGGACTCCTGACTGTCACCTGACCATCATACCTACCTATATAGACATGATTCCATGTGTTTGGTGTGGAGGAGCTTGAAGGAAATCAGCAATAGTCAGCAATATGTTTATAATTAAAATTTGTTTTCTAATTCGACTCTATTCTATTCCTTTATGTTTTATTCTATTCCTTTATGTTCTGTTCTGTTCTATTCTATTCCATACTATTGTTTTATTCTATTCTTTTCTAAATTCGAATTTCGGTAGATGCCTATATGCTAACACTCACACGCAGTCTTTGAAGGAAACCAGCAATAGTCAGCAATACGTTTATAATTCAAATTTGTTTTCTAATTTCGTACAAAATTTCATTTTGGTATTTACAGATTTATGTAAATTCAGTACTATTGTCATTCGGATACATCCGAATCACGAAAAATTAGTCCAAATTTAAATTCAGAGCGAAACAAACCGCACGCTATCTAGAATGTAAAAAAAAAAGAGTTGTGGCTTTAGATATACTCAGCAAACTTCGTTGGGATGTCCCAAACACCGGTGATGGGATACAAAACTGAGAAGGCATACCCCAGAGATTTCTTCTTCATCGCTGGGACGATTTCCGTCTCTATATCGACATTCAGATCGAACTTTAATGTGAAGCATTCTTTACTCGGATCCTGTCGAGAGAAAATAGGAAATATCTTACATGTGGTATGGGCAGCACAGTGCTTAGCACTTCTGCCTGGCAGTACTCGGGGTCGTTGGTTTGAATTCCAAACACAGCACCACATGCCTGGAGTTTGCATGTTCTCCCTGTGCCTGCGTGGGTTTCCTCCTACACTCCAAAGACATGCTGGGAGGTGAATTGGTTCCTCTCTAAATTGTCCCTAGTATGTGTATGTATGAATGTGAGTTAGGGACCTTAGATTGTACGCTCCTCAGGGGCGGGGACTGATGTGAATGTACAATATATATGTAAAGTGCAGAGTAAATTGATGGCACTATATATGTACCTGAAATAAATAAATGTTGTAAATGCTGGTAATGAGTTCCCTGGTCTGTACCCCCCGCTGTGCCCATTATGAAGGGTTCCCATCATCCCTGTGCCGAGTTCCCGGGTCTGTACACCCGCTGTGCCCATTATGAGGGGTTCCCACCATCACCATCTATTGTTGCTGGGAGGGATCTATTGCTTCTGCCTGCTGGGGGTCTATTGTTGCTGGGGTGGTATTTTTTTGTGGGGGGGGCATTGTTGCTGGGGGGGGTCTATTGCTGTGTGTGGCGATCTATTGTTGCTGAGGGGGTCTAATTTTTCTGGGGACCTCTACTGTTGTTGTCGTAGGACGCTCTATTGTTTCTGGGATGGATCTACTGTTGAGGGAGGGGTCTATTGCTTCTGCCTGCTAGGGGATCTGCTGTTGCTGCTGGAGATCTATTGTTGCTGATGGGGTCTGTTTTTGGGGGCTCTATTGTTGCTGGGAGGGAGCTACTGTTGAGGGAGAGGTCTATTGTTGCTGCCTGCTGGTGGATCTGTTGTTGCTGCTGGGGGTCTATTGTTGCTAAGGTGGTATTTTTTTGTGGAGGGGGTGCGTTGTTGCTGGGGGGTCTATTGTTGTGTGTGGTTATCTATTGTTGCTGAGGGGGTCTAATTGTTTCTGGGGGCCTCTACTGTTGTCATCGTAGGGGGCTCTATTGTTGCTGGGAGGGATCTACTGTTGAGGGAGGGGTCTTTTGTTGCTGCCTGCTGGGAGATCTGTTGTTGCTGCTGGGGTCTATGGTTGCTAAGGTGGTATTTCGTTGCGGGGGGACATTGTTGCTGGGGGGTCTATTGTGTGTGGTGATCTATTGATGCTGAGGGGGTCTCATTTTTCTGGAGGCCTCTGCTGTTGTTGGTGTAGGGGCCTCTGTTGATGCTGGGAGGGATCTACTGTTGAGGGAGAGGTCTATTGCTTCTGCCTGCTGGGGGATCTGTTGTTGCTGCTGGAGGTCTATTGTTGCTAGGGTGGTATTTCATTGCGGGGGGCATTGTTGTGGGGGGAGTTTATTGTTGTGTGTGGTGATCTATTTTTGCTGAGGCGGTCTTTGTATCTGGGGAGAAGTCTACCGTTGCTGGCTCTCAGCTCTGGACTCCTCCCATCTTATAGAGTCCCACCCTCCGCCCGCTCAGTTATAATAAAATGCGGATTCTTGCGCTGTGACAGGTTCTCTTTCCCTGGCGAGGAGCGGTCCTGCACCGTTGGTGTTCATCAATTCCATCGCCCCGCTGACACTGATTCCCCATCTCCACTCCAGCTTCCCCTCCCCCCCTGGAGAATTCCCCTCTTCCTTTTTCCTCTCCTACTGGCTGGCTGCCGAGCTTCACACAGAAAACGTGAACACAGGACATTGTCTCGGCTGCTTGTAGATATTTTATTTTTGCCTCTTTTTAATTTTGGTGATTTAAAAAAATTTTAAAAAATAATATTTGCATTGGGAGTGAAATGTATAATAAATGCTTTTTTTTCTCTCCTTTGAGTTACATATCAAACATTGCAGGGTAATGCTTTGCATTCTACTTTTAAGACAGGAGGTGGCGCTGTAGGCTATGGTGGTGGCCGTATGTCCCAGTTTGCTGGGGACAGTCCCCGGTTTTGAGGCGTCTGTCCCTGAAAAACCTGCGCTCACCAGCGCCGTCCCTGATAACACCTTTGGCGGCAATTCCAGCCTTTTTGGGGATGACGCTGCACCCGGATTGGGGGATTTTCTGCCATTCTTCATTGCTCATTCCGGTTGGGTGGGGACCAGGGGCATGTCTACCGCAAGGCAAACAAGGCATTTGCCTAGGGCGGCAATTTTAAAGGGGGCGGCACAGCCCGGAAAAAGGGACCTTTTGAGCAGCGGCGGACAGCAGGAAGATCGATGTGGTGGGGGAGGGCAGTTGCAGAGCGAAAGTTGGTTGTGTATCTCTCCCTCCAGCAGCTGACAAGCCAGGACCAGGGGACGGCCTGGAGCAGGGAGAGGAGAAGTGGCAGAGATGAAAGAGCCTGGAGTAGGTGAGCTGTGCTGTCTTCTGTGGGATCTCCCTCCTGTCATCCATCCAGCACACTACACACTGACAGATCGTATGGGACTGCACAAACCTCCCCCTGGGTGTGGTCCCATACGATCTGAGGAAGAGGGGAAGAGAGAGAGGGAGAAGGAGAGAGGGGAGAGAGGGAGAAGGAGAGAGGGGAGAGAGAGAGGGGAGAGAGAGAGGGGAGAGAGAGGGGGAGAGAGGGGAGGGAGGGGAGAGAGAGAGGGGAGAGAGGGGAGAGAGGGGGGAGAGAGGGGAGAGAGGGGAGAGAGGGGGGAGAGAGGGGGAGAGGGGGGAGAGGGGAGGAGAGAGAGGGGGGAGAGAGGGGGAGAGAGGGGGAGAGAGAGGGAGAGGGGGGGGAGGGGGAGAGAGAGAGAGAGGGGGGGGAGAGAGGGGGGGAGAGAGGGGGGAGAGGGGGGATAGAGAGGGGGAGGGGGGGGAGAGAGAGGGGGGGAGAGAGGGGGGGAGAGAGAGGGGCAGAGAGGAGAGAGAGGGGGGCAGAGAGGAGAGAGAGAGGGGGGGAGGGAGAGAGGGGGGGTGGAGAGGGAGAGAGAGAGGAGAGGGAGGGAGGGAGAGAGGAAAGAGAGAGGGGGTTGGGAGAGAGAGAAGAGAGAGAGGGGCGAGAGGATGGGGTGGAGAGGGAGAGAGAGAGGGGGGGAGAGAGGAAAGAGAGAGAGAGGGGTGAGAGGGGGGAGAGAGGGGGGAGAGGGAGAGAGAGGGAGGAGAGAGGGGGGAGAGAGGAATGAGAGAAAGGGGCGAGAGGAGAGAGAGGGGGGAGGGAGAGAGGGGGGGAGGGACAGAGAGGGAGAGAGAGGAGAGGGGGGGGGGGGAGGAGAGAGGGGGGGGAGAGGAGAGAGAGAGAGTGGCAACAGGGGGGAGAGAGAGGGGGGAGGGAGAGAGGGGGGAGGGACAGAGAGGGAGAGAGAGGAGAGAGAGGGGGGAGAGGAGAGAGAGAGAGAGAGAGGGGAGAGAGAAGAGAGAGGGCCAAGAGGGGGGAGAGAGAGGGGGGAGTGAGAGAGGGGGGGAGGGGTGAGGGGAGAGGGAAGAGAGAGATTTCTGTAGTGGGTGGAGCCTGCATTCTCCGGCATTCAAGTCGCATGTCAGGGATGGACCGCGATCCCCGACCATAACCGCTGATCCCCGACATCTCACACGCTCCTCCGGACACATGTACATTCCTGCATTACTTTGATGCGACTTGAGAACAGAACCGTCACACCTTCTTATTAGCCCCCAAAAACCTGCAAACCTCATCAAAAACGCAGCGCAAAACACGCCAGAAAACGCATCAGCCGCAACCTGCATAGATGTGATCCTGGCCTTAGAGGTCTGCCTGCCCATAGACCTGCTGATTGGATCCACCTGAAAAACTGACAGTTGTATCTGATTGGGAAGCCTAAGGGGTCTATTTATTAAATAAAAACAATCGCTCTGTGAATGTCTTTGTATTTGCACAGCCGTCACAAATAATTCCCGCAATGTGTCTAATATGTTTACTTCCTGATCACCGGCTCCATCCAGTGGCCATAATGCGATAGTTTCCTGAACTACCTAAATCGGGAAAATACAGCATTATGGCCACTAGATGGAGCCAGCGTTCAGCAGTTGAGCATTTCACAGGTCATTGCAACTGATCAAGGTATAAAGAGAGGGCTGCTATAGTCAAGCAAAGTGCACTGTGTGCGATGGCTAGTTGGTGTTGTAACCCACGCAGGAGTATTCTGCCAGATGGGACGCGGGCCCCCCGAGGGAGGAAGCAGGAATGACGCATTTTAGTGTGGACGCGGAGGAAGATGACATCACTCTGAGGAAGGATAGAACCTTACATCTGTGTGCCGCCTCCTCGTCTTCTTCTTCGTTAACTTCAACCCCACCGACTTCTTCTCTCTGCAACCAAAACCACAACGAACAATTACACATTGAAAATGATTCACCGTCCCTGTGCTGAGTTCCCGGGTCTGTACGCCCGCTGTGCCCATCATGAGGGGTTCCCACCATCCCTGTGCTGAGTTCCCGGGTCTGTACGCCCGCTGTGCCCATCATGAGGGGTTCCCACCATCCCTGTGCTGAGTTCCAGGTCTGTACGTCTGTTGTGCCCATTATGAGGGGTTCCCACCATCCCTGTGCTGAGTCCCCGGGTCTGTACACCCACTGTGCCCATTATGAGGGGTTCCCACCATCCCTGAGCTGAGTTCCCGGGTCTGTACGCCCGCTGTGCCCATCATGAGGGGTTCCCACCATCCCTGTGCTGAGTTCCAGGTCTGTACGCCTGCTGTGCCCGTTGTGAGGGGTTCCCACCATCCCTGTGCTGAGTTCCCGGGTCTGTACGCTCGCTGTGCCCATTATGAGGGGTTCCCACCATCCCTGTGCTGAGTTCCCGGGTCTGTACGCCCGCTGTGCCCATTATGAGGGGTTTCCATCATCCCTGTGCTGAGTTCCCAGGTCTGTAAACCCGCTGTGCCCATTATGAGGGGTTCCCACCATCCCTGTGCTGAGTTCCCGGGTCTGTACATCCGCTGTGCCCATCATGAGGGGTTCCCACCATCCCTGTGCTGAGTTCCCGGGTCTGTACATCCGCTGTGCCCATCATGAGGGGTTCCCACCATCCCCGTGCTGAGTTCCCGGGTCTGTACATCCGCTGTGCCCATCATGAGGGGTTCCCACCATCCCTGTGCTGAGTTCCCGGCTCTGTACACCCGCTGTGCCCATCATGAGGGGTTCCCACCATCCCTGTGCTGAGTTCTCGGGTCTGTAAACCTGCTGTGCCCATTATGAGGGGTTCCCACCATCCCTGTGCTGAGTTCCCGGGTCTGTACACCCGCTGTGCCCATCATGAGGGGTTCCCACCATCCCTGTGCTGAGTTCCCGGGTCTGTACATCCGCTGTGCCCATCATGAGGGGTTCCCACCATCCCTGTGCTGAGTTCCCGGGTCTGTACACCCGCTGTGCCCATTATGAGGGGTTCCCACCATCCCTGTGCTGTGTTCCCGGGTCTGTACACCCGCTGTGCCCATCATGAGGGGTTCCCACCATCCCTGTGCTGAGTTCCCGGGTCTGTACACCCGCTGTGCCCATCATGAGGGGTTCCCACCATCCCTGTGCTGAGTTCCCGGCTCTGTACACATTATAAGTCACATCATCAAAATAAGTCCAAAAATTCTAAAACTTTCACCCAACCTCTAAATCTTTGCATTCATTATTTTGACGACAAGACAAAAGCGTAGTTGTGATAAAGCCCCTCCCCCATTTTCGGCATATTGATTCTTCAGTCTTCATTCCCATGGGCATTATAACCCGCCATCCATTTTTTTTTTTCCGCCATCTGTGACCCCATTGGGGAGATTCCCCTTCACTTCCTGTCTCATAACCAAAACAGGAAGTGAGGGAATCCCTCCAAAGTCACCAGAACTAGTGTCCCCCATTGGAAGATCTTCCGTCTGTTCCTGTTCTGGTGACAACCTAAAATTTGGGATTTTCTTTCACTTTGTCTTCTACCATAGTCCTCTGTGCAGGAGCGAGGGGCGCCCTCTACTGGGGAAGAAGATAACACCGCCATGACATATTCCACCCAAAGCAGCTTTAAAAACTGAAAAAGAATTCTATATGGTCAAAAGTATGTGAACCCTGGCCCCTCCCCCTATAGACCGAGTTCAGGTGTCTGGAGGACCTGGCAGAGACCCTGCGGTGTGCGTGCGCGGCCCATGTCCCAGGAGGCAGTTTGTAGGATGCCGCGCATGCGCACACACGGAGCAGGGCTCTCTGTCAGGATTTACTATTTATTTATTTCAGGTACTTATATAGCGCCATCAATATACACGGCACTTTACATATATATTGTACATTCACACCAGTCCCCGCCCCCGAGGAGCGTACAATCTAAGGTCCCTAACTCACAGCATACATACAGTGGCAGTATACTAATATTGAGCTCAATAGCCATATTAGGGGGGGAGGGAAAAAAGAAGGAAAAAAAAAAAAAAGGAGAAAAAAAGGGAAAAAAAGAAAAAAAAGGAAAAATAAAGGAAAAATAAAGGAAAAATAAAAGGATAGAATCGAACCAACTTCTGAAATTTGAATTGAATTCAATAATGACCAAATTTGACTCAAGAAATTTAAATAACTGACCAAAACTAAACATTTTTAGTTCTGCACATGTCTAGTCTGAGCAACTCCTTCCAGCACTCTCACCACCAGTTGTCTGACAGGCGGCATCTAGCTCGTAGGCGGATCAGGAGGGCACAGTACAGGGGGGGTCAGGAGGGCTCAGTACAGGGGGGATCAGGAGAGCACAGTAGAGGGAGGATCAGGAGGGCACAGTACAGGGGGGTCAGGAGGGCACAGTACAGGGGGGGATCAGGAGGGCACAGTACAGGGGGGATCAGGAGGGCACAATACTGGGATCAGGAGAGCACAGTAGAGGGAGGATCAGGAGGGCTCAGTACAGGGGGGGGTCAGGAGGGCTCAGTACAGGGGGGGGTCAGGAGGGCTCAGTACAGGGGGGGATCAGGAGGGCACAGTACAGGGGGGATCAGGAGGGCTCAGTACAGGGGGGATCAGGAGGGCACAGTAGAGGGAGGATCAGGAGAGCACAGTACAGGGGGGGATCAGGAGGGCTCAGTACAGGGGGGATCAGGAGAGCACAGTAGAGGGAGGATCAGGAGGGCACAGTACAGGGGGGTCAGGAGGGCACAGTACAGGGGGGGATCAGGAGGGCTCAGTACAGGGGGGATTAGGAGGGCACAGTACAGGGGGGGTCAGGAGGGCACAGTACAGGGGGGATCAGGAGGGCACATTACAGGGGTGATCAGGAGGGCACAGTACAGGGGGGTCAGGAGGGCACAGTAAAGGGGGGATCAGGAGGGCACAGTAAAGGGGGGATCAGGAGGGCACAGTAGAGGGGGGATCAGGAGGGCACAGTAGAGGGGGGATCAGGAGGGCACAGTACAGGAGGGATCTGGAGGGAACAGTACAGGGGGGATCAGGGGAGATCAGGAGGGCACAGTACTGGGGGATCAGGAGGGCTCAGTACAGGGGGGATCAGGAGGGCTCAGTACAGGGGGAGTCAGGAGGGCACAATACAGGGGGGAGTCAGGAGGGCACAGTACAGGGGGGAGTCAGGAGGGCACAGTACAGGGGGGGTCAGGAGGGCACAATACAGGGGGAGTCAGGAGGGCACAGTACAGGGGGAGTCAGGAGGGCACAGTACAGGGGGAGTCAGAAGGGCACAGTACAGGGGGAGTCAGGAGGGGACAGTACAGGGGGGGTCAGGAGGGCACAATACTGGGATCAGGGGGGCACAGTACAGGGGGGATCAGGAGGGCACAGTACAGGGGGGTCAGGAGGGCACAGTACAGGGGGGTCAGGAGGGCACAGTACAGGGGGAGTCAGGAGGGGACAGTACAGGGGGGGTCAGGAGGGCACAATACTGGGATCAGGGGGGCACAGTACAGGGGGGATCAGGAGGGCACAGTACAGGGGGGTCAGGAGGGCACAGTACAGGGGGGTCAGGAGGGCACAGTACAGGGGGGTCAGGAGGGCACAGTACAGGTTCTGGGATGCTGCCCGCGTCATCCCAGGACAGCTTAGTGAAAAGCGTGACTGTCAGAGCACATCCAGGACAGATGGCAGATATGATGTAATGTCAGAGTATCGATGCACCTGGGGCCCCTGGGCACTGCCATGCGTTAGGACAGCCATGATGGAGACTACAAGCGGAAGCTTCAACAGTCATGGCACCGGTATGGTCCACGGTTGTCACCATCAGGAAACCCACACTGACAGATGCCTTGCAGCCATCACTGGTGGTCATGTAGACAGGAAGTCGCTGCAAAGTGACACCAGCAACAAATATATGATAGACGGGTCTTTTGTGAAATATCCGTCATCCAGTTGGGGCTCCCATCCTGCAGGTGGTGTCACTGGTGTCAGGATGCTGAACCCTGAGCTCACACATTGCTGGCACAGCTGGGTGTCAGAAAGGAATGTGCTTGTGGTCAGAATCGATACACACCCCATGCATCTATACACACCCCATGCATCCGCCGTGCAGGAACAGGGAGAGAACAGATGGGTCACTGCACAATCCTACAATGCCGGGCTGGGCGAGGATATGAAAATAGGGGAGAGATTCCAAGAACAACAAATGTGGACCAGAGACATCCCCCCCGATGAGAGCCATGTGTTCTCAGCCCCCTCCTGTCACCGAAAACAATGAGCTGACCCCAAAAGCTTACTCTCGGAATGGAGGGTTAGAACCCTTTGGCAGATTTCCCTTCATTTCCTGTCCCATAGCCTCAAGAGGAAGTGAGAAAATCCCTCCAAAGTCACTGGAACTACCCACATAGACGAAAAATATATTTGAAATATATTTGAAAAATATTCTTCCCAAATATATTGACATATATTTGAATTGCTACAATTTTGGCCGTATTCAATATATTTCAATAAATAAATATCTATATACTGCATGTTGAAATGCGTTTAAAAATATATTTTGGCCATATTCAATATATTTCAAAATATATTTTAAAAAAATAAATAAATAATAATTAAAAAAAAAAATATATATATATATATATATATATATATATATATATATATATATATATATATATACACACATAAACACACATTTTTTATTATTATTATTATTATTTTAAATATATTTTGAAATATATTGAATAAGGCCAAAATTGTAGCATTTTAAATATATGTCGATATATTTAGGAAGAATATTTGAAAGATATATTTCAAATATATGTAAATGCATTACAAAAATGTAGATTTGTATTTTTAAAGACATACAGTATATTTGAAATTTATCTTAAAAACTATTTTTCATATATTTTGTAATAAAAATGCATTTCATCATACAGTATATATATTCC